ACTCATGTTTTTCTATATATATATCTACCTATATATAGAAATGACATAGGTATATACACATATTCTCTTTCTGTGTCCACAATAAGGACTTGGGAGCTGTGGCAATCCAGTCGCTTTTTTTTTCCCCACCCCAATATGAGGTACCAGGCCTTTTGGAAGAAATGGCTGATTCCTGGGCTGGTTCAGAAACTGGACAATATAGCAATTGCTTATGTATGATATGGCCAGCACCTGAATCAGGCCGTTGGAAATGTGAACGGAGGAATTAATAGGTATCTATCTGTTTCTCCAGCCTAGATTGTATGGTCTTCTAAATCAAGGACTTGTTCTTTTTCTTAAAAAAAAAAAAAAAAAAAAGATACATGCCAAAATTTGAGTAGTTTGTGTGCCATTTTTTCTCTTACACTCTCATTCCCTGAAGTGTCTACCTTTTCTCCCCAGTTTTACTCACATCACTCACACCCCTTTCCTTCCTGCTGTCCCCTGAGGGTTTCCTCCAGGTACCTTAGAGAATCCCTGTTTCAAGGAAATGCACTCTTTTCATTCTGCCTTTTTCTGAAAGAATGTTTTCTCCCAGTTTTTGCAATAACTCAATAATTTTCAACCCTACCTAGACATTAGAATCACCTATAGAGCTTTTTGAAAAGGAAAGGAGAGAGTGAGAGAGGGAAGCAAACAATGTCCAGGTCCCGCCCTAGACTGATTCATTTAGTTTCTACAAGTGTGTGGAACTCAGTCCATCACTCTTATTAAAAACTCCCCAGATTATTTAAATGTATTGCTAAGCTGTGAATCGCTGCCTAAAATCAGCATCTTTTCTGAGAGCATCACTTTCTAAGAGAGGCCATTCTTTCTGTCACATCTGATAAACAACAGAGAGAAGAGTGCCTGCATTTTTCTTGCAAATCTCTTTCTTTATGTGAGTCTAAATATATGTCCAGTTTTACTGCAGCGCTTCATTCTTTTCTGTCCTTTGTTTTCCATCATTATCTCACTAGGACCTTGACATCCCACTCAGTCACTTTCTCTCCCATAACTCCTACCATCATTCTGTGAGATCCCAGTATCCATATGGTTGATCTGTCCATTGCCAGACCTGAAGAATTTTTGCCTTCCTCGGTTCACTCCAGCATGGCCACACCCAGAGCTTGTTCTCACACACTGTGGTTTCATCAGAAAAATTATTTACTCTGCCATCCCAGCTTCTTCCCTTTCAGCTTATATTCTCATGTTTCTCACATACGCTATACCAAGCGTTTTTATATCTGTGGTGTTGTAGCTGTTTCATTTTTACTTTGCCTTAAAGGGATATCTACATTATTTATTTCCCTTCATTTTTCTGCCAGTCTTTCAGTCAGTCCTTGTTCCCTCACTTTCCTCCTGGACCAAATGGTTGACCTTAACGACGTCAGTATATTTATTTCCCTTGACCCCCAGTCTGCTGCGTTGTCCCAGTAAAATCCTAACCCTCGATCTCTCACGCCACTTTCTCTGCTTTTTAATCTGTGCACCTGAGCCCTGCTACAAGTGTATGATTTCTATTTCTGTTAGGGCCTCAACATTTCTGGAAAATCTTTTTCTTTCTATTTCTATTTTGATTTCTCTCAATACCTACTCCAAACCTTCACCTCTCTTTTTAATACCCACTTTACTCGCTCACAAGAATGACTGCATCTCCTCCTCCACCAGGGAAATGGAAATGGAAGCATTTTCTTTCTCAACTCTGTCTCCCTCAACCCTACCACCTCTAAACTCAGTCAGCTGATAGCAAAAAGCCATGGAGTTGCTGATCAAGTTACTTTCTTGAAATATCTTCTCAGATGTTCCCTAAGTACCTCAAGCTACGGTTAATCTTTCCCACCCTTCCCCAGTCCTCCTCTGCATTGCTTATCAACCCAAAATTCTGCTAGTCATTCTTGACTTCTCTCTCTTTTACATCAAGTTCTGCCCTCTTTAAATCCTAAATACTTCTTAAACTGTGTCTTTCCATTCCTACTACTGCTTCTCTAGTGCAAACCTGCGTCTCTCACCAGAGCTGTTTCAGCAGCCTTCCAACTCATCCAGTGTCCTGCAGCCCATTCTCTAAATGGTGCCAGAGTCATTTTTCATAAATTCAAGTTGGATCATGTCATTTTTCTCCTGAAAGCCTTTCAGTGACTCCACCTTGGCGGCAAGATAGCGTACAAGCCCCTCAGTATGGAAAATGTAACCTTTCATGATCTGACCAGCCCTATCTCACCTGCTTCATCTCCATTCCTCCCTACCCCACACCCAAAATTTGATGCTGTAATAATACCCATTTAACTTGCCCAAAATATGAGGTGAAGTGTTATTTGTTGGTATATTTGCTAATACTGTTTTCTTTTACCTAGACCATTCTTACATTTTTTTTTCTTATCTCCCAAGGTTAAGTTTGAATACTTAAGGAATCACCCTTCCCTTACGTAGATAAAGTTAGGTGCCTTGCCCTTGTACTCTCATAACATCCAGTATGTTCCTGAATTACTGCATTTAGCTTATGGTATTAAAAATTCTGTTTCCACATCTGTCTCCACCAGTAAAATCTCTTTCAGAGCAGGAACCAGGGCTTTCTCCTGTTTGCATACCCAGTACCTAGCATACAATAAGTACTCTGTAAATGTTTATTTTCCATTTTGCCCAGCCTAGTCCCACAGTACATATCAGGCCCATAAACTGTGTACTTCAGTAAATATCTGATGAATATATAAATGAATGATTGATTTGGAAATTTATTAAAAAGCAACAAGGAAAGCAGAAGTTGAGATAACAGAGGTTTTCTTATGAGTAACTGGGAGGAAGGTGATATCATTAAGTGAAAATGGAAACAGATGGAGGAAGTAGTTTCAAGATAAAGATACTGCACTGCTTTAGCAAGAGTTGGTTTGGGAGGCAGGAATAGACATCCCTTTACAGCTTTTCATCAGATACTTGATCAGGTCAGCAGTTTTGGCAAGCACAGTGAACTAGAAGAATCTATTTAGAAATCATACTTGAAGACATAGAGGTGTGGCAAGGATCACCAAGAAAATACTAAGAGGGAAGAGGACAGGGACAGACTTTTGGAATGTTTACATCTAAGGGGAAGGAAGAAGTCTAAAACCAGAAAACCAATCAGTATAATACAAAGACCAAGGGAGAAAACATTTCAACAAAAAACGTTTTCTTGAATTTCTTCAATTTTTATAGGGTGATCTGGTAACAACCAAGACTATTCAAAGAAGAAACTCATTTTGATTTGTTCTTGGAAAAATAGTTCTAGTCGGTATGTCTGTTAGAATAAATTATTGTTTTCTAGACATTCAGCAGAGAAGCAAGGAGACAGGAGATAGTTATGGAAGGGACATGATGAGAGTTTTTTGTTTGTTTTTAAAATACAAAATGCATGCCTTTTGGAAGAAGTTAAAACATTCAGAGGTATATAAATTAAAATATAAAAGTCTTTCCTGTATTTCTTCTAGTCTCTTTTAGTTTGACATTTATCCATCCAGAACTTTAAAAATATTTTTCTATATTTTTGTTTCTATAAAAATGAGATCACATTATATATTTTATTATTGCAAATTGCTTTTATTTTATTTTAATAGCATGTCATGAAGTTTCCCCACATCAGTATGAATAATTACCTCATTCTATTTAATGGCTGAATAGTGTTCTTTATGATGAGTATGTACCATTATTTATTTATTCATTCTCTTATTGAATGATACTTGCCTTCAGTTTTTCACTATTACAAATAATTCTCCAGTGATTATCTTTGAACAAATATTCTCATGCTGTTGCTCATGTAATTCTGTGGGAGAAATTATTTATTTATTTATTTATTTTTGGAGACAGAGTCTCACTCTGTCTCCCAGGCTGGAGTGCAGTGGCATGATCATAGCTCACTGTAAACTCAAACTCCTGGGCTCAAGCTATCCTGCTGCCTCAGCTTCCAAGTAACTGGAACTGTGGGCACATGCCACCATGCCTAGCTAGTTTAAAAAAAATTTCTTTAGAGATGGGGTCTTGCTGTGTTGCCCAGTCTGATCTCAAATTCCTGGCCTCAAGTGTGGGATAAAAGTAGAACTGTTGGAAGAGGGATGCATTTTTATTTTGTATTGACAAGTCACCCACAAAAAGGTGATACCCATTTGCGGTTCCTGTAGTAGGTATTAAACTACTCTTGTCCCCATACCCTCACTGACACTGGGTATTAATGGAGGATCTGCTTGTTTGTAGCCCTAGGAAAGAATCCAGTTTAGAGATGATTGAAAGGCATAGTCATAGAGGGGATGGGTCAAGATGGTATCAAGAGTGCAAATAAAAGGTAAAAAAAAATTTTTTGAGACATTAAGAGAGGAATAGTAGATGAGTGAATATGGAAATAAATACAAATGAAGGAAGAAATTTTCCATACAGTCATCTTTATTTTAGGGAAATTATAAGCCAAGTTCCCAGTTGAGATGGAGGATTACCAAGATAGAATTTTGAATAAAGGTACAGAAAAGCCTCTGTGAAGATGCTGTAAAGAAGCAGAAAGCAGTCAGTATTGGGAGTTCATCTGAGCTGAGAATGAATCAATTTGGGGGAAGCCAATGGTTGGGGTTACATTAATTTCTCTACAAGAACAACCAGAGTTGTAGTCGTTGGATTTGCCTGGGTTTGGGGCTTTCTGGGTTGATGTAAATTTATATAACATTCATAATAAGGTACTTTTATTTTCCGTGTTTTCCTCTTCCATGAGTACAATTTGTATAACCTAAGGTACACATTTTCCGGTCGGTCTGCACAGGAAAATGGTCCGTGTTCTGGTTTAAAAAAAAAAAAAAAAGATAGAGTATCACTTTTATACATTTTCTTGTGCCCACCATATAAAGCCGTGTAACTAATAATTTTATTTTCTTTATATAATTCTGAACATAAAGCCATTTACTTTCTTGGTTTTATTAATAAATTATGATATGAGCAAACACTACTAAAAATTCTGATTGATATAAACCAGAGACATTTATATAAGAATATGTGATTTAGAGCAAAGCAGCTGGCGGAGCAGAATAGATCTTGAGGTCAGCCATGTCATCTGAGCCTCCCCCACCACCACAGCCCCCGACCCATCACACTTCAGTCGTGCTGCTGGACACCCCTCGGACCCGCGAGCACTCACCATACCCTCTGTGGGGCAGTGTGGTCCCGAGCCTACTGCCCACTCGCCAGAGGACAACCTTCTCAGCGACGGTACAGGCTTCACAGGGCCCCCCGTCTACAAATGAGTCTGCAAATGTTTGCTGATCCAAGTGCCCTGGCTTCATTACCCCAGCTGATGGCAGCCCCAACATCTTCCTGCAGGTCTCTGACATGGAAGGGGAATATGTCTCAGGTGAAGGCGATGAGGTCACCTATAAGATGTACTCCATCCCACCCAAGAATGAGAAGCTGCAGGCCGTGGAGGTTGTCATTACACACCTGTCACCAGGCACCAAGCATGAGACCTGGTCCAGGCACATCATCAGCTCCTAGGAGACGCTGGAAGCGCCCCTTCTCCTGTGCCTTTGGGAGACTTTTCAGGGAGGAGGCAGCAGACACTGGAGATGACATTCTTCCACAGGAGACGGGGCTTTGCCAGGGCATGGCCCCTTTCAAGTAGCTCCTGGAGGAAGGTGTGTGGGGAGCAGATGCTCCCAGCCATCAGCACAGCCTCTGACCATGGCAACAGCCTCTCACCATCTGAAGAGCATTAAAAGCATTTAAAAAGGAAAAAAAAAAAAAAAGAAAGACTATGAGATTTGAATCCTGGTCAAAGGCCACCTGGAATAAGTGATAGATCTAGCAACACTCCGTTCAGCTTATTCTTGTCTAGAGATTCCCTCTGCTTCTGGGGAGTTTAAACATTTTGATTTTAGAGTCTTGTTTTTTGAGTAGCTGCCTCTGTGTGTTTCCAAGTCTTTTTCTTTAATTTTCACATTGTTTATGGGCATGGGGAAGACAAAACCCAAGTGTCATGAGTTTGTCGTGAACTTAAAGTAGAGGGAACAGCGGAATAGTGAGAGATAACACATCTTTAGAACATTTCTCCCTAAAATAAGAAAATGTTACAAGAAGAAATGTGCTAATGGTGGGAACACAGGTTATTAAAGAAGAAAATACGTACATGTGTTCATTTTCATTAAAATGCCTTTTATCCTGCATTTGTCTTGTTGACTTTTTAATGAAATTATGTAAGTATGGAGTCTAGTTCTTCCACATGCACTATTACACTACTCCTTACGTGCTCTGGGTACATAATAAATAACAGTAACAATTGAAAATTAGAAATACAAATGCATTTCAAGGCACGTTGGTGATATTTTAATGCCTAGTGTTCATTTTTAGTACTTGGAAAACATCTTAGATATGCACGTCTTATTTTAGCATACTTTTTATTCTATAGATGGTCTGCTTCTTAGTCATACTCTGTGGCTTTATCAGCTGTTTCATCAGTTTGAGTCTCATTTCCCCAACTCCCAGGATAAGGTTTTCAGAATAAAAACCATTTCTTTTCCAAAATTTTTGTGACAGGACACAAAATAGAGGTTGAGTAAATTATTTAAATTATACCTCAGTAAAAAGTAAGATAAAGAAAGTTATTAATGAATTGCATTTCAGCCCATGCTGAATTTAAATATCTGTATGATCTTTGTCCCCTTCTATGCCTTCAACAGTTCATTCATCATTGTTCTTTCAGTTTATTAAAGTCAGACTGCGATGGCCGGCTGCTTGGAACGTCATCATCCGTTAAAAAGTACCAAGACTCCCCAAACAGTGGAGAGAATAGGAAGGAGAAGAAGACAGTTGGGTTTCATTTGCATATGAAAGATGAAGCCCAGTGGTCATGTCAAAAGAAAGATACCTATAGACCCCAAAGAGGTAAGTTTAACAACTGTAGTAGCAAAATGAGAAGCTGGCAGGGGAAGGTAGCTGCTAGCCAATGAATTTCAGATGATTTCCTACAATGTTGAGCAAAAGTTAAATGTTACACACTGAAGTGTGCCTGCATGGCCACAGGTAACACATCTACTGGATTAGTGAATTATGTCTGCATTTTTCTTAGAATACTGGTATGAAAAACTGTATCTAAATTGTCCCTCTTTTTTTTTTTTTTTTGAGATGGAGTTTCGCTCTTGTTACCCAGGCTGGAGTGCAATGGCGCGATCTTGGCTCATCGCAACCTCCACCCGCTGGGTTCAGGCAATTCTCCTGCCTCAGCCTCCCGAGTAGCTGGGATTACAGGCATGCGCCACCCTGCCAGCTAATTTTTTGTAATTTTTAGTAGAGACGGGGTTTCACCATGTTGACCAGGATGGTCTCGCTCTCTTGACCTCGTGATCCACCCGCCTCGGCCTCCCAAAGTGCTGGGATTACAGGCTTGAGCCACCGCGCCCGGCCAATTGTCCCTCTTTTTGCAGGCAACAACTGTTAAGAATTAGTCAGCAGTAAGTATGATCATATTCTAAAATAATGTTCCAAGTGAGTAAAGAGGGCAAGATATTGAACATAAATCTCTCCTGGAAAAATAAAGTCTAACAACTACAGTTAATCCTGAATTGACTGGAAACATCGGGAGGGTGGAGGAGAGATCATGGACAACTCCCCATATTGTGACTAAAACAAACCTCACACGTCTAAAGCATATATTGCCTAGCAATCTTTTGAATTTGTCAATAATATTTCCTGTTATGTGGTAGATTCTTTTTTTTTTTTTTTTTTTTTTTTTTTTTTTTTTTTTTTTCAGACAGAGTCTCGCTCTGTCACCAGGCACCAGGCTGGAGTGCAGTGGCACTATTTCGGCTCACTGGAACCTCTGCCTCCCAGGTTCAAAGGTTTAAGCAATTCTTCTGCCTCAGCCTCCCGAGTAGCTGGGACTGCAGGCACATGCCCCCACACCCAGCTAATTTTCTTAGTAGAGACGGGGTTTCACCATGTTGGGCAGGATGGTCTCGATATCTTGACCTCGTCATCCGCCCACTTCGGCCTCCCAAAGTGCCGGGATTACATGCGTGAGTCACCATGCCTGGCCCAGTGATTCTTAAAGAAATCAATTATAAATAATTATATTAAATGTTGAGTGAAGCAAACTTGTTTCCCAGTTGTTCCTGGAGAGGCTTTTGGCTTAATCTGTCCTGACATCCTTAAAGGAATGACTTTGGAAAAGAACGGAGCAAGTCTGAGCTTCATTATACAGAAAAGATGTACAGGAAACGGAGGGCCAAAAAGACCTCTGAGCCCTGTCCTGCTCACACCTCTTTCCTAGGTGTCTTTTTTCCCTTCCCACAACCACTAACCTTGATTTCCTTCTTACTTACCTCTTTCTACTGGGGCTGCACTTTTCTACCTCTGGTGTCATACGACATACTTTTCTCTCTATAGCCACTCTCACATTTATTTATTTGAAAATTGGGCAGTTCTTTGTGAGATCTTGCAGGTATACATCTCCCTGCCTTTCTTCATCTGCTACTAGCTTGTCATGCTTTTTGGTTTAGATTATGATTAATCTAGAAATTGTTTAATCCTCTCCCAGATAATTGAGAGATGATAATTAGTTCAAATTTTGGGAGGGAGGACTATCCACAATTTGAAATAAAAGCAAAAGTACATTTTGTTTGACATAAGACAAAGAAAGGTTTTGTAGACTTCCATTGCTTTAGAACAACTTAGAAGCTGCTTTCTGGTTGCTGCTTCCTAAACTAAAAATTAAATTGAAGAAACTTTAGGACATAGAATCTTTACTTTCTCTGTTAGCAGTCCTTCAGAAATGGAAAACTCTTACCTCAGCTTCCTCTGTTCTTAGTCATTGCACTTTGGAGAGTGAAGAATTAGTCACAATTGGTGTAGTGGTTACACTGCAAGGTTTAACATAGTCTTCAGTTAACTTGTCTACAAATTTGTGTTGTGTGGCAGCACTAAGATAAAATGGCAAAATGAGAAAAATATAGTGTAATAGCAAAAGAACAAATAACTTGTGTTATTGGTTAATACCACAGCCACAGTAGAAAGCAGCAATTGAAAAGGCACTTTGAGAAAGATATCATCAGGCCAACCCTTGCTGTGGTGAAGGTTAATCTCTCCTGGGCCTAGCTACAGAAGTCAGAAGCCTGAAAAGGGCTTGTGTCCAAAAAAATCAATTTCTAATTTGAAACAAAATCATTTTTGACTAACAGGGGTTCAGAACCCATTACTTTTTGCTGTATAGTCTGCTGACATTTCAGCACTTTCTGTTGTGCACAATGAATCCTAATAGTCATTTTATAATGTTGCTATACCAATCAATTTAGCCAAGAGAAAGCTGTTACAATTCTGCAAAGTTTTCAGGAACAGTTTTCACTCAGGGTTTTATTCTCTTTCCATTAGGTTTTTTCTTCCCCCCTTTTTTTGTGGGGTTGGAGAAAGGTTGTAGTGTTGCTCTAAAAAAAAAAAAGAATAGAAACTTTTTCATCTTTCTAAGAGTTTTTATTTTAAAGCATTCACAGGAACTACTGACTTTCTGTTCTGCTCTCTTTTATTCTAATATGGAACTGTTAGCAAAATTATGGTCTACATGACCATTAAAGTGGCGAAAGTTGCCCATTTGAGCCATTCTGCCCATCGCACAGCTAGAGCATGCAGATTACAGTACAGGGTAGAGAGATTGCATTGGCATTTGCTGTGGCCCCCAACCAAATGGGAGATAGAAACTTTCTGTGGATGCTGCGGTAGACTTGGAAACCCTGTTTATCATAAGGCCGATGACCCGGCACAAATGACCTAGGTTACACTGCTTGGTTTAGCACCTTCTTAATTGCTTTTCCCTCTTTAGCGTGTCTGAATTTTTTAATACACTTTTCTTCTGACTTACATATTTTGTTTCTTTTGTTGTTATCCTTTACTCATTAAGTACTACATAGGACATTTACTGCAGGACCATTAATCTTTATTACCAATCTCTTACTCCCTTACCTCTCCTATCCTCCTCACCATTCTGCCAGCTTTACTGATGCTAAACATGTAAAAAAAAAAAAAAAAACCAAGAAGAAGAAGAAGACCAGACTATTGTCTCAAGAAACAGCCTTACAATAGCAAGAATACATACAGTATTGTTAAGATTGCACTTAAGACATATAAACTTGTTCATTCATCAGTTTTCGTTGCGTTTATTGAGCTGTGTGTAATAGGGAGACAATACTTGGGAAAATCTAAACTTGAGTAAAGAACTTTTAAAAGGCATAAATCTGGAAACACCCAATCTTCATTCTTCTTTTTTCATCCTTTGCAGCCTCAAAACACTTTTGATCAGCTTGCCTAGAACCTCCCTTTCCTGATGAATCATCCATATTCCCTTTTATCAGAGCCTTCAAAGCTGAGGGCATTTTTTTCTTGTTATGTTGATGGGCTAGTAGAGGCACTGAAGCCACTGAGCACACATGTTCCAGAACTGAAATGTTAAACCTCTGAGCTTGGCACTGCCCATTCCTAAGTCAGGCTGTGAAACCTGACTTTAGCCACTCCCTTCCTCCTTTTTGTTCCTCCGTCTTGAATCTCTACATTCCCTTAAAATGTTGGCAGAGGCTGAACCTAGAGCAATTTGGGTTTACTTGATGGTATTGATTGTGCCCTTCATTTTGTCTTTTGGGTTTTCTTAGGTTATATGATTTTATATAGTAGCTGCCACTGGTTAAGGTCCCCTAGTAACTCCCAAACACATTTTTTTCTTTTACTGGAAGATGATTGTTGTAGACTCAGCTGAAGTGAAGAATGA